GAATTTTGGATTAACCTTTTTTCTAAAACCTCTCACCCTCCCCACTGTCAACACATGAAATCCCCAGGGAGTATTCTCTTTTGGAATATCATTGCATGTATAATGTGGGATGTCTTCTGAATCAGCAATTAAAATTTACACTTATGCTTAGTCTTTTGAAGTGTGGATATAGATTACATTTGGAAACACAGACTTATAAAGTAGCAAGGAATGTATTCTTTGCAGTGTCTGGAGTTGAAATCTGGCTTCTTATACGTACTAAATGCATGATATCATGCAAATTATTTCCCTCTCTGACAATCAGATTTATATTGGGATGAAGATAGTAATATCATAGATTTAGCAAAAATTTAATAAGAACAAATATTTGCATGCAAAGATATCAAGGTAAGTATTTATCATTTGATCAGGTACAAAAGATTATTTTACAGAAATGGCCTGGGTGAAAAATAGATGACTGGATCAAGAAGATGTGATATATATACACACAATGGAATACTACTCAGCAATCAAAAAAATAAATTCATGCCATTTGCAGCAACATGGATGGAACTGGAAAAGGTCATGCTTAGTGAAATAAACCAAATATTGTAATAAAGTAAAAAAGGACATCAACTAACAATATAAACCAGAGACATTCTACAGGGGAGGAGAAGGGAATAGAATCAAAACTTGGATGGGAGGAGCACATGGGACTGTGGTGATTGCACATGGATAAAGTGGTGGTGGGAAGCCCAAGGGGATTACAGCTGAGATGAAAAAATGCACAAAGTGAAGAACAATGTAATATATTATGTATATTATATGTTATATATGTATGTATATAAATTATTGGCTAAGAAGAAAAACAAAAAGGCCTGGGTGAAGAAATGTTAAGAGCTGTTTATCACAATTTTTCTTCTTAAGACATCTTTTTATTAGAATTTGAATCTTTTGAAATGTTCTATGAAGCTGTAGCAGACTTTGACGACGTGATGCTGCATCTGTTGTTGTTGCTGCTGTGGTCTTTTGTGCTGGGGGTGGCTTAGGGTGAAACATTTCCTTTAGGTTTTGGTGACTCATGGATGTCACTTTAATGTGAGTTATCAGAAATAAATTATTGTGACCCCATCCCTATTAAATTATACTATTATTTAAAAAGGCTAATTACAGCATTTTTCTTAGGGTCACTGCATCTGCAGGCCACCTACATCTTTGCCTACTACACCTACGTCCTCCTCCTTCTCAAGAGCACTGTCTACTTTGTCATCATCATCGTCTTCAGTCTGTGCAGGAGACCAGGATTTTGTAGCAATGGGAAGAGTCCCATAACAGAGGGTGTTGTGAAACAGAAATGCAGTTTTCATCATTTATTATCACTAAAAGATTCTGCTGAGGAGTCTGTAGTGCTGGCTTTCAGGGTTTGGGTTATTTTAGTTCTTGTATTTTCTTTTTCATTATTATTGCTTAATGGCTTTTCAAAACCTGGACAAACAGAATTTGTAACAACAAATTCTGCCATTTTGAGGGGTAGAGACTAGAGATATTTGACTAAAGCCTTGTTTAGATTTAATGTCTCAATAATCTCTACCTACTGTTCTGTTTAACCCATTTACTCTGGCTTCTTAGTAATCAGGATGCAATTTCTAGTCAAACTCTCTTAGAGCCCTTGAATTATATAATTGCCTTGAAGATTTCATCTTTACATCCTGAAACTGCTATGTCTACTTCTTGAATTCTGTATTTTGATTTGCATAATAAATACAACAAATTAAAAAACAAAGACCTATTTTTGTCCTTGTGTATTTCAATGGTTGAAATCTGACTAAAAGTGAAAGTTGAAGAATCAGCATCACAACTGAGTCAGTACATATTTCTAGTTCTTTCCCAGAGCTAGCATTTACATTATTTCTATGGGACATTGACTCTAAGGGAGCCATAGACAAATGAAGGGATAGAAATTACTTCTCTTGAAGCCCAAATTTTCATATTCATTTGTTTTGGCATATTCCCATGGCAACTGAATAAATGGCTTGTTTCACAAGCCCAGTGGTTCTTGACCCTCACCTAATCCGTGGAAGCTGCACAAACGTGGGAGGCACAGCATGGAGGAAGTGAAGCACCAGCACAGTGCTTGCCTGGGTTTGAATTCTGAGCATGCTGTTCACATCTGAATGGTCTTGGGTAAGCAACATGAATCTTTGTGCCATCATTTCTTCACCTGAAAATGAAGTTATAGCTCTATGTCTCCCAGAGTTATGAATTCAGATTAATTAATGGTGCTTAATACATGCAATCTGCAACAAGCACCTGCTATTGGTGACTCTTCTTTATTTTTAATTTTTTTAAGATTTATTTATGCATACAAGAACTGGGATACAGTCCAGAGATGCAGGGGATGAGATGATTCACCAGAGATGGTGTTGGGAACAGAACAGGCAGATGTACTGAAGTACACTGCTGAGGGGAGCAGTAGACAAGACAGGAGAGGTATGCTGCCCCCTGTGAGTTAGCCCCTTGGCTGGGGCTTGTACTGTACTTGAACTTGTACTGCAGTGGCTGTGGATAGCTTCATGGTGGTGAGACTTAACCCCATGCACCACTAGAGAGGCCCTGGTGACACTTCTTTAAGTATAGTAAATTCACTCCCCAAAAAAAGCACTGCCAATCATATGCATCCTGTTGCCCTGTGTAGAGGTCTATGCACACTAGGTCATCCTTTTAACCATCTAGGATCCTTCAGGTGTAGGGACAATTTAGCACATAGCTTAAGAGACTGGAGAGATTATATTATTTGCTCAATTATAGTTTTGAAAGTAATTGTTATATGTAGAACTTAGTGTCTCTGAGCTCAGTGCCTGCATTTTGTAACCCATTATTACTATTTGTTTATTTTAATTTGAAAGACAAAATATTCACTGCTTTTTCACTAGACATCCTCCCAGTTGTCAGTGGGAAGTTCTTAATGACTCTGTGGGCACCTGAATGTCATCTCCTCACATACACGTGCCCTGGAAGGGTCAAGATTGCTCCCCTAGTTATGAGGGTACAGGATGCTCACCTGATTCTGAGGGCTCTGTCCTCCATGTGCATGCACTATTTGGGGGTGGGGGTGTGTAGAAGAAATGACTCAAAGTCTCAGGCATAATATGAGGGTGCACTGCAGATGTACTGACACCCAGCTGGCTCTGAGTTACTCTGAATTACCTGTAGAAGAGCATGGTGTGTCTGTTACAGGGTAGCCCAGAGTGGATTGGGCTGCCTGTCTGTGGGGCCTCACCTGCGCGCACACAATTCAGTTATATTGCAGGTACACACAAAAGGGTCAATAACGGGTTTATTTACAAAAGGGGAAAGGAATAGGAAACAACCCAGGGAAAGAGAGCAGGATACAAAGTAACTGGAATACCTTATGGCTAGGCTGACTGAACACACGGAGTCACGCAGTCTTCCTGAGCGCGAGAGAGCGTACGAGATGCAATCATGTCCTATTTATCCCCCAAATGTCCCAGAATTCCTGCTAGCTCCGCCCTTGGGTCCTCGCAGTTCTCTCCCTGGTACTTCTGGGAGTTGTAGTTTCCAGTCACTGGAGTAGGGAATAGAGTCCAAAAAGCTGGAATAAGGGGTGGAGTCCATAAGACTGCAGAGTTCCTTTAGGACATCCTTCCTCTTAACATGTCCACTTGTATTGGTGAGGTTGGAGTTACGTTAAATGTCTTCTTGAGAAGAAATTTCTGACCCCTGTGAGGCTGACATTTGGCCATGCTCTGCTCTGTCATTTGTTTTTGACCATGTCACATTACCTAAGTTTAAAACCACCTTTAGAAAAAAATGTTTGAATTCAATAACTTCAATTAATGGCATAATTTATATAATGACTGTTTAGTGGCCCGATGAATACAAACACTACAGAGTGCTTCCTAAGCACTGAGCTTTGGTCTAAGTACATTTATTTTCCCAAGAGCCCTATGAGACATGCACCATTTTCTCTGGTAACAGGAAAAGTGAGCAGAGTGGCTGAAGAATATCCCCAATGCTAGACATAAAATAACAACAAGTTGCAATTGGTACCCAAGCAGTATGGCCTTAGTACTTCTGTTCATGGTCTGTTAGTTACAACTAGAATAGAAGCAGTTTAGTTTTAGTCTCAGTTCAAACAGAAATATTCCTTCCTTACTAGGTTAAGAGCTAATGAAGGCAACTAGTTGCTTCTCTATGTGCATGTTTTAGAATAGACAAAAAAAAAAAGAAGTTTAAATATTCCTTAAACACAGGCCCATGTGGCATCTGTTTTTTTTTTTTTTAAAGATTTATTTATTTATGCATACTGAGCTGGGGTACAGGCCAGAGGTGCAGGGGTGCTGAGAGGATTCACCAGAGACAGAGTGGGGAGCAGAACAGGCAGATTGATGAAGTACACTGCTGAGGGGAGCAGTGGGCAGGTCAGGAGAGGTCTGCCACGCCATGTGGATCACCTCTGGGGCGGGGATCGAACTCATGCTGAAGTGATTTTAGCTTCTTAGTGCTGTGCTTTAACCTACTGTGCCACCAGGGAGGGCCCCACACGGCATCTTTTGCTGCTCATTGGCTTCGCTGCCTCTTCCATTCTTTTTTTTTCTCTAAACAAGATTTTCTTTAATCTCTAAATAAAGATTTGCTTTATTTATCTGAGAGTCTGTCTATGAATTCCTTCCTACGCTTCCAGCTTTGTGGAACAAAAACCCATAGGGTGGGTGGAGGCAGGGGAGGTAGTTCAAGGTCTAAATTCCTGGGTTTTCACAGCTAGACCAGGTGAACAGCAGCTGCTGCTGTCACAACAGTGCGCACCGGCTTCCCCTTGACAACAGCCCACGTTTGAAGAACAGTTCCAAGGTTCAGGGCAAGCAGAACCTGGTTTCCATAGTTGGCTCTGTCCCATAGCAGCTGCAGACTCTTTTTCTTGGAGCAATACAGTGTATATATGAAATTTGATTTCTCTGAGATTAATCTGCATGAAAGATCTCATTAACTAATTTAAAAAAAAAACATAAAAATATCCCAATGCACATGCCTATGGCACATTAAAAAACTTTGATGAGTGGCCCTCCCTGGTTGTGCAGCGGGTTAAAGCACAGCACTGAGAATTTAAAGCCGCTTCTGCATGAGTTTGATTCCCGCCTGCCCCGGAGGTGACCACATGGCGTGGCAGAACTCTCCTGACCCAGCCGCTGTTCCCCTCAGCAGTGTACCTTTTTGATCTGCCTGTTCTGCTCCCCACTCTGTCTCTGGTGAAGCCTCTCATTACCCCTGAGCCTCTGGCCTGCACCCCAGTTCTGTATGAACAAATAAATAAATCGTTGAAAAACCCCAAAACTTTGCAACTTCCAAATTTATTTTCTGTATTATAGAAAGTTAAGGCTTAGTATACAAGACCTGAGTCATCAGCACATTAAAGAAAGGCAGACATAGGGGCTAAATAGAGTAGGTATGTCCTCACATGTTTGGATAATGGTCTTACATTGTGGAATTTCAGGGGGAGCAGGTGAGTAGTAAGAGATAAGAGAACCCTACCTATATGTACAATTTCATGCCAGGAGGTTCTTCCTGAATCTCAAATCCTCTTGCCAGACCTTCCAGCTTGCATGGTGCAGGAAACCACAGAGCTTCTCATGTCTGTAGCAGACCATGTAGAACCCGGATAAACTATCAGTCTCCACTTCTTCACCCTCAGACACCAGAACCAGCTCCACCTCCCAGCACTAGCCTGAGACCTCCTGCTCACAGGGACCTCACTATTTCACCTTCTCCTTGGGAGCAGCCAGCCAACAGGATGCCTCTCCTGGAAGCTGTCATCTTCTCTTCCCTCTGGGCCTGTGAGTGTCCCCCTCATTTCCATCTACAGGAGACACTGAGAAAATTCTTTATTCTTGTCTGTTTGTATGTCATTTTCATGCAGTTTTCTTTGTTTGCAGTTGGCATTGGGCAGTTAAAGTTGGAACAACCTGAAATATCAATCTCCAAGATAATATCTAAGACTGCCCACATACCTTGTAAGGTGATCTCTCATAGCTTTCACAATGATTACATACACTGGTACTGACAGAAACCTTACCAGAATATAGAATATCAAGTGCATGCCCAATCTACAGTAAAACCTGTTCAGAAGCAAATAGGTGCAAAAATCAAATTTGAAGCAAGTAAAGACTCTTCCACTTCCTCTTCAATCTTGAGAATTAATTTTGTAGAAAAAGAAGATGAAGCCATGTATTAGTGTGCTTGCTGGACCTTGGGCCACGACATTAGAATCACTAAGATCACCTGTACGAAAAACCACTCCAGGTCTGTGCCCACCCACATCCTTTCCAATATGGTCCTCACACCTGGGCGCCCAGCCTGAGCCTCCCTTCCTGCAGTAATGGAGTTGTGTACTACTTTTATGTTTTACTGTTCAGAGATGACCTGCAAATATAAGTATCTGACTAAAATAGAAATCCATTGAGAGCCAGACAATATTCTGGTCATTGTCCAGCTTCTATAGTCATCACAGTATGTTTACAATGTCACCTTTATTTTTCCACACAAATATGCATAATTAGAGGCTAAAAGATAAAATTACTTTAAAAATACCAAATCCCCTGCTTTTCCAGCTTTGTAAGTTTACTGAGAAGAAAGTCAGTACTTCATACATGTTGGAGAAGAATATGGAATGGAGCTTATACTCTCTTCTTGTTGGGGAGGAGGGTAGGCATTTAATCTACTTAGGGATTGTTAGAACCTTCCAACTTCTATGCTTTTGTACAGTCCTCCTGTGCCCAGGATTTTGACTGGCACATTACCTGATCTCACACCCAGGTAGATTCTACTATTAGTTTCCATTCCTTTTGGATTTTTCTTTGAGATGCCCAGGGCACCCCTTTTTAGAGACTGCTCTTTTGTAAGCACTGTTCGAAAGCCTTTATGTGTGTGTGACTCATCCCATGCTTGTGATCATACTTTGATGTTACTTCTATTCTTATGTACATGTGTATAAGGGAAACAGACATAGAGAGTTTTTACTTGGTAATCACTGAGCAGGGCATAAGACTGGATTCCAGATTGTGTGTGTTTTATAACCTTTGTACATGCTGCCTCTGAAGCAAAAACACAGAATTGGCAGAGTTAAACAAAGTCTTATTTACACATTAATTATTCATCAATAGAGGATTATTCTATGATGAGTCTGAATTTAAATTTTGTCTTCCCATGATAAGTATATATGTGGCTGATTTTACTTTCAAAATATAAAACTATAATTAAAAAAACAAAACTATTATTTTTTATGAAGCATAAAAATAGTGCAAAGAAATTAAGATGTTCTTTGTGATATTTTCTAATAGGACATCTGCCCTTAGTGCCTATGGAAAGCCATGTGCCTATTTGTTTACATACTTTCTACAACTGTTTTTGAGTTCAACTGTGTAAGAGAATAAGGGTAGAAACCTTATTCTCTGCAGCCTATCAGCATTTAGTGTCTTCAGAAACTTTTACTGTCCTCTGCCATGCACCATAAGATAACAGAATGAATCTATCTACAAATAAAATTCAAGATGCCATAGGGGAACATATTAACTATTTTAGTACATGAAAATAAAAAGACACTCACAAGTCAAAAAGCAATGCAAATTAAAACAAATAACAAATGATGGAAATCCAGCAAGGTTGTGGTAGAGTGAAGATGTCAGGTTTATCTCCTCCAGAAAGCACAACAAAACTGATGGAAAGCAAAGCTGTAAGTGTATTAGGGAACAACTGATCATCAGCACACACAATAAGAGGCTTGGCTGTCAGGAAGGGGTAGGAAAAACTCTCTAATCAGCTTTTAGAATTACATAGGGCAGGACAGCTCAAAAAGAACAAAGCAGCTGCGATCCAAAATCTGTGTAACTCATTAAAGTCAGGCCTATGTCAACATCAGGTCTCCCCAGACCCTGCAGTTCAGTTGATAAGTAAGGATGTGCAGGAGAAGGTACCCAGGCTGAAGGGTGTTAGATGATGGTAACAAAGATAAAACATATGAGTCATGACACACTGATTTAGTAGGTGTGATACAGGAAAAGATAACGTTTGATTTTGGGTTATCACTCTCTGTATAGCCATCCTTTAGATAATATGTTTCACTAGTTATTACTAGTTATTAAAAAATAAAATTAACAGATAAACTTAACACATTTTTATTAATCAATACAATTATTTGATATTAACAAACAATATTATTGACAAATACAATGAATATATTCCCATTATGAAACAAATTGAAATGTAAAATAATTTAAATATTTACCTTTTGTAGTTACAATAATCACTACTAAAATCTGATATAGTTCCATCCATTAATTTTGTCAATATCATAATCATCTAAGTGAATTGTGTTCTGTTAAATTAAATAAAATACAAAAAATTCCTTCAATAAAGATTGGACATGGGACAAGATAAAAATATGAATTGTTCAGAATTCACATTATTACTCACTGGAGCTTTTTATGGAATCAGATAAATGTATTAATTGCCATCTTGTGTATAGATCAAACAAATGGTTAATATTTGCAAAATAATTTTAATTCCTAAGACAACTTATTACCTGCTTTTAAAATGGTTGGAATATAATAAGTATTAAATAAAGTATTATAAATTTGAAGGAGAATATTCATTTTCCTATGGAAATATCTGGGGAAAAATTGTTTTAAAACTTGAATATTTAAACTTACCATGAAATAGATAAAAAGTTAAGTATCCACTTTATTTTATATCTTAATTGGATTATTCCTACTGTGTTAAAATTATATCATTGTACCCCAAAATCATACCCAATGTCACAAACTAATGTTATGTCATTAAAAAAAAGATTGTTTCTATAGACCAGTCTCCTCAAGTGAAAGCCCATGATCAAGGTTCACATATAAACTTAAAAATCTAATACCATTCTGTTAGCTCTATATTATAATTTTAGTTTTTACTCTAGGTGAAGACAAGAGATTACATAATTTCTATTTTACCTTATACTATTTTGGTATAATTAAAGAACACTTTAGACAACATAATTTTGGGAATTATAGATAATCATAAGATATGGCAATTCTTAAAAGATCACAGTAACTCATTAGATTTTTTAAAGTGAAAAAATTGCATCAATAAATATCACTTGAAGCATACTGCTTGTTTTTGAAATCAACTTCACAGAACATTTTGCTCAGAATCTTAATACTCACATGTTTCTAACAGCTACATAGGGCAATATTCTCAGTTGTCTCAGTATCTGAATGGCTGCTATGGGATCTCTGTATGAGGATGTCACTGAAAAGACAATTACCCACTTACAAAATAACATATTTTCCCATTTATTCTATCATTTGATATATGTGTAACATAAACATGAGGCATAGCACTATTAACTTAAAGCAATATCTATGAAATTCATAGCTGAATTTATTTCAGATTGATATTTTGTCAAAGCTGTATTTTTTTTAACCAAACAGTAGCAGGAATATCATTTAATATTAGTTTGCACAAATTGAATTAAGGTAACCCATGTTATTTGAGGGATAATTATGTATTATCATGTTCATCCTGTTTGAATTCTGAATATTTTATGGCTGTATCACAGAACTGGAATTTTAAGTCTTCTATCCCTCATGTCACATTTGAGATAAACCTAACTAAACTATCAACCCAAGTCAGAAAAAGAAATAAACTAACATGCACAAAACTCACCACTTGTTTATACTGTTTATTTTCAAATTTATGTACATTCTCTCAGACCATAATGAAAAACAGATGCTCAAAAGCACTAAGGAAAAGCAGAAGTAAAAAGGCCTGTAATCATCTACCAAGAAGCGCAGGGTAAATTTTTGTGTTTAAAGGTAGGAGAACAATGTAGTGGAGTCGATACTTTTTATTATCAGATTAAGTGAAGCACTGCAAGTTTTCAAATACTATGCTTTCCCCACTATATAAGTGAAAGCACACTAATGCAAGAGTCCTTTAGGAGGCAGTAGAAATGTCCACTTCAACATCCATTTAAAAAAAAAAAAAGTTAGCTATTTATGCATAGTAGGGTACAGGCCAGAGGTGCAGGGGCAGTGAACAGATTTCACCAGAGACAGACTGGGTCACAGAACAGGAAGATCTATGAAGTACACTCCTCAAACAAATGCCTAATAATAATGGTGATCTCCAATTACAGTTGCATTTTAATCAGCTTGCTTTTCAGATCTTGTTTCATGTTGGTCTTTTGGCTTTATTTTGGATCTTTGTTTCACTTCATTTCTAGTAGGGATGTTGAGCTTATTTATACTAATTTTTTTTATGTATAATGCAACATTAACTTAATTGGCTTTGATGTACTCAAACAGATCTTATGAGTAAAATAAAACATGAACAAAATCCTAGTCTTGAATCACAGGACAACATGTTCAACAAAATCTGTAGAATTCAGAGAAGCTAAATTAGTTGAAGTTTTTGATGTGGGTTGAGGCACAGTAGTGTTATTCTGTAAAACAATCTGGTGATGAAATAAACCTTGTTGCATGTAGATATCAAAGAATACAACCTTTTTCAAGGTAACGGAGGGAAGGCAAGAACTAATGAAAATTGAGTAACAGCAAAGCATGTAGAAATAACAAGAATGTGATGAGGATTGGAAATCTTAACAACATTTTAAAACAAATCCTATGGTAAAGGACCTCATAGAGAACGTTGTGCAGATATGTGCGTATACTTGTACAAAGTGTTCCACATTTAAGTATGTAACTACTGTGAAAGCGTTTGGCTCAAGGACAAACATGATTATTACAGGTAAGTTTTTCCTTATCTGATGGAGAAAGGATTTTGTAAAACAGCTGGGAATTTGGAGCTAAGCCCACCTGCAGCCCTGGCTCCACCACTTTCCACTTATGTGAGTTTGGTGATTTTTTTTCTGGTCTCAATTTTGTTCTCCATTAAGAATGGAGAACAATATGTATGCAGCAAGGTTTGTATGAAAATCTTGTGTGAATAAAGTCCTTGGCACATCGTCTAACATGTGAGAGTGCCGGGCTGGTAGATGATCCACTGATCAATCAAATGCCAAGTGAGAGTTGTAGCCAGTATGGAGACTGATGTAGCTAACAGGACCTGACAGAGCTGACATTTTCTAGAGAATTTAGCTGTACTTCTAGTAAGAGTTATCTTACTGTCCACTCACACACATAAAAATGAATTGAGACACTTGTTTTTTTTTTCAATGATCCTTTTCTTGGCAGGAAAATTATATTAAAATGTGTTGCTGACGTCATTGTTGTTATTCTGTTGCTTTAAATCTTTTTGTCTAAAAAAATTAGGTACTTGGCCCTCTCTGGTGGTGCAGATGGTTAAGACACAGCACTAAAAAGTTTAAGCCACTTCCGCATGAGTTTGATTCCCGCCTAACCCGAAGGTGACCACATGGCGTGGCAGACCTCTCCTGACCCGCCCACTGCTCCCCTCAGCAGTGTTCTTCGATGATCTGCCTGTTTTGCTCCCCACTCTGTTTCTGGTGAAGCCTCTCGCTGCCCCTCAGTCTCTGGCCTGTACCCTAATCTGTATGCACAAACAAATAAATCTTAAAAAAAAATTAGTTATTCAGTGTACAATCCATTTTATTTTTTAAAAATTTTTATGAAGATTTATTTATGCATACAAGAACTGGGGTACAGGCCAGAGGTGCAGGGACAGTGAGAAAAGTCACCAGAGACAGTGGGGAGAGGAACAGGCAGATTGACGAAGTACACTCTGAGGGGTCAGGAGTGGTCTGCTGCGTCTTGAGGGTCAGCTTATTGGCTGGGGATCAAACTTGTGCTGCAGTGACTGCTGATTTCTTTAGAGTGCTGAAACTTAACTCTTCACCAACAGGGAGGCCCTGCATTGCTTTAAATCTTAATCCTCTAACTTAATCAATGTCATCTTTTACACCATTTCTTGACCTTAAAATTTAAAGTCAATGAGTTTGGGCCTCATGCTTCCATTCATCAGAAACAAAAGTTTATATTCAAACAGAAAGTGTTCTAGTAAACATAATTAAATGAAAATTAAAAAGAAATAGTATGAATTTGAAGTTCATTTTAAAATTTGATATAACATATATACCTATATGATAAATGTAACAAGAAAAATCTACAATAAAAGTCAACACCAACATGTAGGCTTAAAATATCACACTTTCAGTCCCTCCCTGGTGGTACAGCAGGTTAAATTAGCACAGCAGTAAGTAGCTAAAGGCACTTCAGCATTGGCTCAACCCCCACATGGCATGGCAAACCTCTCCGGACGCACCCACTGCTCCCCTCAGCAGTGTACTTTGGGTGACAGTCCACCTGTTCTGTTCCCCCCTCTGTCTCTGGTGAATCCTCTAACCACCCCTGATCCTCTGGCCTGTACCCCAGTCCTGTATGCATAAATAAATCAATCTTTAAAAAAAATCACACCTTCAATTGCAGATGTAGTTGCCATTTGGAAATATATAAAATTCACACTACTGAATCTTAGTGAAATATTAACAATTTCACTACTTAACTCAGCTTGTTATTTATCATGCAAATTAATGCATATAAATGAATGGGACTGATTTATATTTTACGTGATTTCTTTTGTAGATACCATGAAAATTATGTTGACCATAAAAAGCACTAACATTGATAAAATTTAAAAAATATACTTAAAAACTCTGCAACATGAAGATTTAAATATAGGCATTAACTACATAGTAACCAATTACCTGCTTAATTATTTTATGAGGAAAGAAATCGAATTTCAGGACTCATTTTATACTGAAATTTAATTTGAGATTAAAAACTCAACACTGTGTTCTTACTGATTTAGTTTGAATATCACAAGTTTGGCTATAGACATGGAATACTCAAGAATTTTTCTCATTTTTAAATGAAAAATCCAGTTCTTCATAATAATTCTTCCACTGAATTATTGAAGTAACTCCAAACTAATCTAAAATGAATATAATATAACCCATGTAATATATGGGTTTCTATTGGAATTCAAGTTACAAAGAGTTCTAATAGTTATAATTTCAATCTTTTAATTAACAAATATATTATCAAGTAACATTATAATATTTTTGAGTAGATTATGTAATTTTGTAATTTATTTTGACATTACATTTGCAAACTATACTGGAGCCATGACTTTAAACATTAGACCAATTATATAGACATTCATCATGTGGAAAAGAAAACAAGAAATCATGGAGCTCTGAGCTAGCTCAGCAGCCATTCACAGAAAGTGGATACCAGCTGTCTGGAAAAAATATAGAATCGAAAAGCAATGTTGTGATTAATTTTAAATAATTATGTATGCATACAGAACTGGGATACAAGCCAGAGATGCGGAGGGTGAAAGGATTCACCAGAGACAGAGTGGGGAGCAGAGCAGGCAGATCGACAAAGTACACTGCTGAGGGGAGCAGCGGGCGGGTCAGGAGAGGTCTGCCGCACATGTGATCTCCTCGGGGGCAGGCGGGGATCAAACTCATGCGGAAGTGGCTTAAGCTTTTTAGTGCTGTGCTTCAACCCGCTGCACCACCAGGGAGGTGGAATTTAATTTTAAAATTAAATTCCACATAAGATTTCTTTCTGGTGAAGCGTTTCTAAATTGAAAGAAAAATTGGATACATTACTGGATAAGATTAATGTAAAAATCGTGCTGAAAATAATATATTTTTTCATAGAAGTTTTGGGAATATTGCTATGTTACTTCTAAATTCTATATGTAATAAATTATTTATTGATCCAGATTTATTATTACTCTACTGAAAAACCTAGAGTGGTTCACTTATGAAATCATATTACAAAAAAAAAAAGAAAGAAAGAAAGAAAGAGAACTATTCTGATTCAGACTGGGCATGGAAATCTGCATTTGAAGCTGGAAGTTCAATTTGATAATTTCATAAGTATTCTTGGAGGAGATTTCCATTAAAATAATTGATTTCTTTTTTTAAGGTCAGTTTTCCACCTGATCTTTATAGGGCAAGTGAGGTAAATGTGTTATGTTTAGAATAGTTAGGTAATAAGTGATGTCCCTGCCCTCCCTGATGGTGCAACGGTTTAGGACCAAGCACTGCAAGCTAGAGGCAACCGCTTCAGTGTTAGTTCTGTTACAGAGGACCCCACTGTAACCTGGCTGCCTGTCGGTAGAGCCTCACCCATGCTCTTAAAATTCAGTTGTACAGCATGCGCACACAAAAGGGTCAAAATGGGTTTATTTACAAAAGGGGAAAAGAAAAGGAAACAACAACTGAAATATCTACCAGCTGGCTGATTTGGAGCTCTGGCAATAAACTGAAAGCCCCGAGTCACATGGTCCAAAGAGCTGTTTCCTGAGAGAGAGAGGGAGAGATGCAATGGCGCCCTATTTATCCCCCAATGTCCCAGAATGCCTGCTTAGCTCCGCCCTTGGGTCCTCACAGTTCTCTCTCTGGTACTGCTGGGAGTTGTAGTTTCCAATCATTGGAGTAGCGGGTAGAGTCCAGAAAGCTGGAGTAAGAGGTGGAGTCCACAAGACTCTGCAGAGTTCCTTTAGGATATCCTTCCCCTTAACAATTCAATCCCTGCCACGGAGGTGACCCACATGCTGTGGCAGACCTCCCCTCAGCAGTGTACTTCGTAGATCTGCCTGATCTGCTCCCCACTCTGATTCTGGTGAATCCTCTCACCGCGCCTGCACCTCTGGCTTGTATCTCAATTATGTATGCATAAATAAATAAGTCTTTAAAAAAAAGTGATGTCACACAGAGTTGTAAAACATAGTAATCTGTTGTTAACAAAGCTCACAGGCTAAGAAAGGAAATAACTTTAAAAGCAATTAAGATTCTATCTATGAAGTTCTTACCAAAATTGTCTGTTCTCTAACAGCTCCACTACTACCCACCTTCAAAACATGTTCTATTATGATAGAAAAAACAAAATAAAATAAAAGTGATCTTGAATGTTGGGCGCCTCTTATTGGGCAATTATAAGTCACAAGTTTTATTGGCATGTGTCATATTGGAGAGGGAACAAAGGTCAGGTTCTAATTCAGGCTCTGCCTTTTAATAGCTGTGACTTTGGGCACATAACCTCTAGAACCCTTTTTCCTTTAATCGTTAAGTACAGCAATAAGTAACTCACAAACTGTTGTGGATAAAGCATCACTTAAAGCAAACATTAATTCTATGACTTTCTTTCCTCTTACTCCATGCTAGATTTTTCCTAACAACTTATTTTTCCAAATTCTTTTTAATGCTTTTCCATTTTCCCCACAGACAGAAGCCTTGAAGAAGATTTATCACCCAAGTCCACAGTTTTTCTTCCTTCAATTGCTGAAATAAACCTCCATAAGGCTGGAACTTATCTTTGCCTTTTGGAGAATTTCCCCCCTGATGTTACTAAGATAGATTGGAAAGAAAAGAATGGTGATGAAATTCTGAGGTTGCAGGAGGGAAATACCACCAAGACCAGAGAAAAGTACATGTTCAGCTGGCTGACCGTGCCTGAAACCTCAATGGACAAAGACCATGTTTGTGTCGTCAAACACAAGTCTAACAAAGGCGGGGTTGATCAAGAGATTATTTTTCCTTCAATAAAGAATGGTATGTTTATATCATCTGTGAATCCTTTTATCCCAAAGGGATTATATTGCCTTGTCTGTCAAATATTATGGAAAACAACAATTATACATCTTTCTAAGAATTTATATTTAATTGTAGCATAAATGTCCTGCTATATACCCACAGAATCAAAACAGTGTAGACTTTGAATATAAAAAGGAAACAAGAAAAATTTACTTAACTTTCCTCTCCTATAACTAAATAGGACCTAATTTTCTACTTCTAAGAACAGAAGTGCAATAGTGTAAAACATAGTCTTTAGATTTTTGTAATGATGAGAGAAGAATAAGAAGCATCACAGTTTGTGATGGTAGTTACCAAAGAGGAGAAAAATTCTGTGTTAATTTGAAGCTTAATTGTGAAACAAACCTCTCCCCTAGGCTTTTCTGGCTACAATTCTGTTAATATTGTAATGCCATTTCTGGAGGATTTTTTATTGTTTCAGTTCTTGCTAAAAAATAAAAGTAGAGGGCCCTCCCTGGTGACACAGTGGGTTAAAGCACAGCACTAAGAAGGGAAAGCCACTTCAGCATGAGTTCGATCCCCACCTGCCCTGGAGGTGATCCACATGGCGCGGCAGATCTCTCACCAGCCCACTGCTCCCCTCAGCAGTGTACTTCGTTGATCTGCCTGTTCTGTGCCCCTCTTTGTTTTGGGTGAAGCCTCTCACCAACCACGCACCTCTGGCCTGTACCCCAGTTCTATATGCATAAATAAATATTAAAAAAAAAATAAAAATAGAACATATATGAGGCACACATCTTTGAAGCGATTTTGAAGATAAAACTAATCTTATCCAAATTTTCAACAATGTTGAGAAAGAGTAATCAGAACACACATATTTTATTATGAAAAAAACTGCTACTTAATTCTTTTAACTCAACAGACCATAATAAGAATAGTTATTATCTTTTATGGAGTGAAGTGAGGAGATGAGAATTTGAAGATACATTAAAATCAGTTTTTGAGGACACTTAATATCTAAACACAATTTAACTAACATTTTCTTTCTTGGAACTAACCAAAACCTAAACCTCAAACGCCTTTTAGAACACATCTAAAGGCTTTATTGTTGAGTGCATAAAATGGCATAACAGAACCATGACCTTATGGACAGAACACATCTGGAAGGAAGAGGAAAAACTGAAACAACAGTTGTGACTGTTTCTTCATCCCACATTCATTTAAAATTTTTTAAATGTTTATGTCTATTTGCTATTTTGCATTTTTACAGGAATGTAAATGCAACTCTCATCTCAAGTTTTCTGTGATCAAAGAACTGTGATTGTGACCTGAGATAATATCCTACCCCTGGAAGAAAATGAAATAAATTCTCAGTTCTTATAGTCTAAAAGCCATTTGCTAATAATCAGTATCTCTACAAAAAAAGCTCTTTTCATTGCCCATAATATTATAATTATGTTTTTTTCTCCATAGATTATGTTCTTTTTTTTTTTAAGATTTATTTATTTATTCATATACAGCTGGGGTACAGGCCAGAGATGCGGAGGGTGAGAGGATTCACCAGGGACAGAGTGGGGAGCAGACGAAGTACACTGCTGAGGGGAGCAGCGGCGGGTCAGGAGAGGTCTGCCTCGCCATGTGGTCACCTCCGGGGCAGGCGGGAATCGAACTCATGCGGAAGTGGCTTTAATTTTTCAGTGCTGTGCTTTAACCCACTGAGCCACCAGGGAGGGCCGTATATAATAGTTTTTAAAAAATACTTTGTCATGTCTGCCAAACCCAGAGCTTTAGAAAATCATGTGGCTGAGTAGGCATTACAACTACTTGGGAAACGACGACTGCTTCACTTTGCATAGCTGAGACTATTTCTAAACCACATTTCTTTCAGCATGTTAGATTTGGGCCGTAGATTCTAGGAATAATATGAATCACTTTCATGTGGACCCTTCAAGTCATCAGGAGGTAGTGTGTGCTGAAGACTGTAAAACAGCCCCCTCTCTTTTCTTTCTAGTCAAGGAATCTTTTTCGAACACCTCCTTTGAGACAACCACTGTGGTAGGAGGTCTGACCCCAAGGGGAAGGGAAGATGGTCTTGAGTTCATCACCCCCGTTGTGATGAAGGATGAAAGCAGTGAGTTTTTTTGCATATGCCTTGATTTTCTGTAATGAGTCAGCACATATTTTACTTGATCAACTTAACTTTTGAAGTTGTGTAAAAAAGTAAAAATCTATCATCTATCTATCTATCTATCTATCTATCTAGGTATGTATCTGTCATGTTCATCACAGACATGCACTGTCAGATAGTGGATATGAACACTTAATACATTCTCTTATTCCTTCTAGATACTAATAATTACCCTAAAGATATTTAATATATTTAGTCTGAAAGATGAAAGTAGTAAGTTTTTGTACATTTTTGTTTTTGTGCTGTTATAGTCTTTTTTTTTTTCCCGAGCACTTAGGTTTTGAGCTTCCCTGTTGTTAGAAAAATCTATGTATTCATATAATAGACTGAGTGATTTGCATTAGCACAGTAAATGCTAGTTGGGTATGAGATGACTGATATTAAAGTGCACAAACATATCAGACATATACTTTGAATTGTTTTATTCACTTGTGTTGCTCTTGTTTATAATGTCTGGGAAAAACAAGCTATCAGCTTGTTTTTAGATTTTTATTAGTCTTTTGTCCTTGCCAGTAGCTAGTGGCGTGAACTGACACTGAGAGCTTCATATACATGCCATTGGCCATATTTTGAAATCTTTTTCTTGTTGAATTTTCATAATTCAATGTGCTATGATATTCTCACCCCCACCCCCAACCCCAGCCTATTTCATAAGGAGGACAATAAATAAAAATTAACAACATGCCTTATTCCCTGTCACACTGCTAGATCTGGGGTTTTCACTTAAATTTAATGCCCACGCTTTGGATTATTCATTACACGAATATGGGGGAACAACTTACATTTTCTGAGCAATACTTTCCTCATCTGCCAACTGAGAATAATTATACCAAACTGTGTTATTGAATAGGTAGTTTCATTTGTATGAAGGTCTAACATAGGGTCTCTCATATGGTTGGTGCAAAATCAGTACCCGATTCTAGTTCCTTCTTCTTATATGTATACAAAGAAAGTGACTAAAACCATTTGGCTCCACCCCTTGGCCTTCCATCCTTTTCCAAAATTCAGGGGACTCTGGACCTTGTGGTGATATTGGCTGTAGACAACTTTCAGTTTTGGTGATACGGGGATGTGATTTTAATATAGGGTATCAGAAATAAATAATGTCACCCTACTTATTAATGTGCTGTATTGTTTCAAAAGAAACTAATCACCTATCTTTTCTTAGGGTTGCTGCAGCTGCAGTTCACTCACACCTCTGCTTATTACACTTACATCCTCCTCCTTCTCAAGAGCATGATCTACTTTGCCATCATCACTGTCATTGTGTTCAGGAGAACAGAAGCCTGTGGTCATGGGAAAAGTCCTAACAGAAGGTGGCACAAAGCTGTCAAGTAGTACTCATCATTACTCTATCTAAAAGATTCTGCTGGGTATCTTGCTAGGCTGTCGTTTTGGGCTTGCATTATTTTAATTCTTTTGTGTATTCTTCCTTTTTGGTATTATTGTGCTATGGTTGTTAAAAATCTAGGCAAACAAACATTTTACTCTGTAACAACAGCAAATCCTGCCAGTCTCAGCAGCAGCTTGGAGGGGGCTTTGATTGAATCCCTGCTTAGTACCGATGTCTCAATAATATCCATTAACTTCTGCCCTCTGAGTATAGAAAGGATTCAACTTCTTGTCACATCCCCTTAGTAACTCTTAGCCACATAATTACCTTGAAGATTTTCATTTAAACACCCAGAAGCTGCCATTTCTGTTACTTGAATTCTTTATTTTGTTTTGCATGATAGACACAATAGATGAAGTCAACTTCAACTTTGCTTTTGTGTATGTGTATTTTAATTTGATGAAATCTAATTAAAGTGGAAGGTAAGAAACATCACAACCGAGCTTTTCAATCCAGCATTTGAGGACAACTATAGTGCACAGTTTAAAAGACTGGAGAGACTAAATTACTTGGTCAATTACTTTTTGAAAGTAATTGTCATACTTTAAAGTCTAGTGTCTCAACTCAAAGCCTTCACTTCTGTGATGTCAGGCAAGAAGGAATTTGATATAAACTACCATATTTAATTTGCATTATTGCACCAGTTACCAATTATTTAACATATTTAAAATGTTTTAACAAGTGTTTACCTTACATTGAATCATAAACACTTATCTACATTTTTGAATAGTCTCAAGGCTTTATTCTACACATTTATTTCTTTGATATGACCTGAACACATTTGCAAAAGGTATTGATATATTGTTGTAATATGATGTTATCTAAGTTTCATACACATTGTCATAAATCAGTGTCTGCATTTGACACATTAGTTTCAACACACAAGGTTCACATACTAACACATAACTTTCATAAGACTTTTGCATTACAACTGTATTCACCCATTTCACAGATAAATTAAAACATATGGTTAAAAGGATTGGTCAGAGATTTTTCTCAATTCTTTGTATATATTAAATTCTTTAAGTCTCATCATAAACTATGGGGCACCTTCTGTTACTTTGGTGCCTTGACACATGAGGTAAGTGAAACTATCTATATCAGAGACTTGTCCAAATCATACAGCTTGCACGGGGGGGTTGGATACAGATAACCTACATGGAGGAAAATAAGAGTCACTGTCCCTTGCTTCTGTCCCACAGAGAAAGCTTTGTGGAACATTTGCTAACTTAGTATTTTATACTGAATTATATGTCACCAGCATTTGAGTTGTCACAGAATACATGAAATGTTAATGCTATCAATTTGCTTTCCAAAGCATAAAATAATAAAATGTCTAATGTTTTATGGAACTTCCTTCAACTTAAGTGTGAAAAATGAAGGCTGTCCTCTAATCCCTGCGTTCTTCATTTTTCACACTTAAGTTGGAAGAGGTTTCATAAAACATTATGAAACATCATAAAACCCCTAAGCACCCTATGGAAGAATACTGTACCACCTAGTATCTGTGCTGCACACCTTCCCTTATTTATTTGACAGGTTCCAAGGATCTGGTATAGTCTTCATTCCTGTCCTCTACAAACTTAAGGATTCTGGTTCTGTTTTTCAATTCAGGGAGGCCATGAGAGAAAGGTCATTCAAAGAAAACTGAGAGGAATAGGCCTGCAGCCTATTCCTCCTACCTTGAGACACACAACTTTTAGTGATTCTAACCTGTCCGTGTATCTTGGTCATCATATCCCATCAATGTGGGCCCAGATTTATTTCTTGAGCCAAATGACACCTTCCTGGTTAGCTAAACTTTAATAGAAGCTGAAGGAGAGAGCAGGGCCTCAGAGAACAGAGAATATACGTGAATGCAAGCTCAAATTCTTTTTAGACAGGAATGTACAAATAAGTTTGTCAACATCTCCATTTCCTTCTTTACAAGGGTTTGATCAAGAACTTAAGAACTTCAGAGAACAGTGATGAGGTGTCCACAGTGAGGCACCCTGTGTTCATCTCTTAAAGGAGAACTTCCCATCAGCTCTTCTTGTGTTGGATTAAATGGTAAAGAGCAAGAAAAGAGACAGCTGAATTATTTTGCATTCGAAGTCTAGAATATTGTTCAATCATTGAAAACAGTACTTTGTGGTTTTGTGTATAGCTTTTTGAGTAGAAATTTTTATGACCCTCTTTTACGGCTTACAGGTTTAATCCTCTACAGTTGTTTATTTCCACTCCATGATCAACACCAGTCCCACAAATATCCTCCACATTAGTTCATTGTTCCTCTTCACTGCCCCACTCCCAGTCCTCCTCCCTCCTGAACTCGGCACCCACTTCTGCAAAATGTTCATGACACTTTATAAAGAAAAACTCATGAGCATATGTAAACCTTTTAAGAAATAAATTATTGCATAGAGAGAATATAAAAAAGAAGGGGCTATTCAAAATTTTAAGAATGATTATTGTTGAAGTAATACGTTTTTGTTCCTCTGTGTACTGTGATTAATTTTACATATTTTCCTAAATATTGTAAAAGTATTTAATAGGGCCCTCCCTGGTGACTCAGCAGGTTAAAACACAGCACTAAGAAGCTAAAGCCACTTTAACATGAGTTCAATCCCTGCTCCAGAGGTGATTCACATGAAGAAGCAGACCTCTCCTGACCCGCCCGCTGCTCCCCTCAGCAGTGTACTTCGTCGATCTGCATGTTCTGCTCTCCACTCTATCTCTGGTGAATCCTTTCACTGCCCCTGCACCTCTGTCCTATATCCCAGTTCTGTATGCAAAAATAAATCTTTAAAAAAATTAATAATGTTATTTTCTCGTCTGATGCTTATGCAATGTACAGTTTCTCATACCTAAGTGTTTTCTGTATCATCCTCATATATGTGATAATGTAGCTTTTAGATTCCTCTAAGAGATTTAAATACATAGGCACAATGAACTTTGAGGCCTAAGAACTTTAAAAACTCAGTCAATGTCAACTAGGTTTAAGTGGTGTAACAGAATGTTTAATTATCTGCTAATTACCTGTTCATTTAGGTTATTTAAAATCAACAAAGTTGCTCCAATAATAAGTTGATCAAAAGAAGAGTATAAAGTCAAACATATATGATCTTAAAATCCCATAAGCGTACGTTTCTCTACGTTTTTGAATTTTCTCTACGTTTATATATGATTTCAAAAGTCACTCATTCAAAACAAAGTACTGGGAAATATGAACGTAGAGAAAATTCAAAATAAAAGTGAATGATGGATTCCATTATAATTTTTTTAAATATTTATTTATTTATGCATAGAGAACTGGGGCACAGGCCAGAGGTGCAGGGATGGTGAAAGGATTCACCAGGGACAGACTGAGGTGCAAAACAGGCAGATTGACAAAGTACACTGCTGAAGAGAGCAGTGGGTGGGTCAGGAGAGGTTTGCCAGGCCATGTGGATCACCTCCGGGGCGGGGATAGAACTCATACTGAAGTGGCTTTAGCTTGTTATGCTGTGCTTTAATCCATTGCACCATCAGGGAGGGCCCAACCATTATAATTTTTAATGCCTGGTCTTGATTTGTTCTCTTATGAACAAGTCTTCCTTAGTTGAGCTCTCATATTTCCCAGTACTTTGTCTTTGAATGAGTGACTTCTCCTTTCCACTGTCTTCACTCATCTGATGGAGATAGATTATCACACCAGCTATCCTATAGGATTGTTGTGACAAGTAAATACAATAATATAAGAAAATATTTAGGACAATGCCTGGCCATCCGAGTCTTCAATATTAAATGTCATATGAATTCTAAAACTAATTAAACATACATTGCATTACAACACTCCTAAGGGTGACGTAGTAAACGAATGAATGGAACAGTATGAGTAGGAGCTGATTTCCAGTCTAATCTTTGTTGTAGACTCTCCAGCAATTGAGGCATTTCCCCTTCTCGTAGTCACTCAGAAAATAAGTTAAATTTGATATCTCCAAGTCATAATCAGTGTAGTAATATCTCATTAATTAAAAAAAAACAGAAATACCCTACTTATGTGCATATAACTCATTAAAAAACATTGATGAACTACTGCAGGTTTGACACTTCTGATTTAAAAACCTGTAAAATTGCTCCAATAATAAATTAAAAGAATATGAAGACAAACATACATGACCCACTTTAATAAGGTTCTTTGTTGCACTTTAGAAATATCAAGTTTTTATACACATGTCCTCAACAATAAGAAGCAGAAAGAGAGGGGCTACACAGCAGGCATGTTTTTACATGTTTGCATCATGATCTAACAATGGAGTTCCTGGGAAAACAGGTGAGTGCATCTAAGAACCATCCTCCCCTTACCCCAAGATGTATGAATTCATACCAGCGATTTGAGCTCTTATACCAGGTGGCTCAGCACCATAGGGCTCAGGAAGTCACAGAGCTTCTAAAATCTGTAGATCATGAAGAAGCCCAGAGCACTATCTGAGCCACCACTTCCCCTGAGACACCAGAACCAGCCCCATCCTCCTTCCACTGGCCTCAGTTTTTTTGCTCACAGGAACCTCACTTCCTCACCTTCTCCCTGGCAGCGGCTAGCAAGCAGGATGCTTCTCCTGGAAGCTGTCATCTTCTCTTCCTTCTGGGCTTGTGAGTTGTTCCTATATCATTTAAATCTATAGGATACACTTAGAAAATACTTTGTTGCCTTTTGTATATTATGTCTTTTCTTTAAGGATTTTTTGTTAATACAAACAGAACTGGGGTACAGGCCAGAGGTGTGGGGAGTGAGAGAATTCACCAGAGACAGAGTGAGGAGCAGAACAGACAGATCCATGAAGTACACTGCTGAGGGGAGCAGTGGGTGAGCTAGGAGTGGTCTGCCACACCATATGGGTCACCCCCCTGGCCAAGGATTGAGCTCATGCTTTAGTGGCTGCGATAGTTTCATAGTGCTGTGCTTTAACCCATTGCACCTATTATTTATTATTATTTCTGTATATTATTTCTTCATGAAAATTTCGCTTCTTTGTTTGCAGTTGGCGTTGGGCAGTTAAATTTGGAGCAACATAAAACATCAATTTCCAGTCTAAGATATCATAATGTCATTATATCTTGTAAGGTATTTTCTTTAAATTTTGATAATAAATACATACATTGGTACCGACAGAAACCTGGTGAGCATATAGAACACCTAATATATGTTGCCTCGACAACAACTCTTGTTCAGAAGCAAGCAGGTGGAAGGAAAAAAATTGAAGCAAGTAAAGACTCTGCTACTTCCACATCGCGACTGCGAATTAATTACTTAGAGGATGAAGATGAAGCCATGTACTACTGTGCCTGCTGGGACCACAACATTAAAATCACCATGGTAATCAACACAAAAACTAACATTAAGTTATCCTACCAGCATCCTTCCCAGTATGGATCAAAGCAGATCCTCACATCTGGGCACCCAGCCTAGTACCTATTTTTCCCCCCATCCAACAGATTGGGAGTCATGTATTATTTTACTATGGTGGAGATGTAACTATAAATGCATATATCAGACTCAAATGGAAAATCATGGCATGCAGGAAATATACTTGTGAGAGTGGATCTTCTACAGTCATCCCAGCATTTTTACAGTATCATCTTCATTTTTTCAGATTAATATGCATAAAATAACTTTAACTACCAAATCCCCTGCTTCTTTAATTCTGTCTGGCCAGCGAGAAGAAATTCAGTGTTCATTTAGTCCATTCATATTAGAGAGAATGTGGGATGATTCTCACACCTTCTATTCCTGGTGGTGGGAGAACAAGAGCTCATTCCCTCCTAGGGGTTGCTATTGTTCAGCCAGCCCACTTGACTTTGCACAGTCCTTACATGCCCTAGAGGTTGGGGTAGGGGCTTAACAGTCTCATACCCAGCGGGATTCCCCGGTTACTCCATTTGCCCTAGGATTTTGCTCAGCCTAGTCAGGGCAGTAGTAGGAAGGGCTCAGCTCTTCCTCATGAACAATTCCAATGTAATTAAACAATGGACTATGATGGAAGGTGATGGGCCCTAGGTGAGTAGAATCTCATTTCCAGTTTGTTTTTTTCTCATCTAGCCTCAACAATTGTGTTCTGTCTGTTCTTGGCAGCACTAAAAATATAAATGAAATTTTATTTCCCTAGGTCATAATCTTTGTTGTAATATCTCATTCATAAAAAACATTAAGTACTCCAGTGTTTGTGCTTCTGGAAAACAGAAAACATTGTGGGGCATTGCAATTTCTCAATTACCATTGTAGTACCTTAGAAAATAAAGGTTTCATACCCAAGTCCTGAATCATGAATAAATTGCAGAAGGATAGACATATAGCATGAGCACAGCAGGTATGTCCTCACATGTTTGGATCATGATCTCACAATGCAGAGTTTCTGGGGGAACAGGTGAATGCATCTAAGAATCATCCTTCCCCTACATCAAGATGTGTGAATTCATAACAGCAATTATCATGATCTTGAGCTCTCTTACCAGGCCTCCCAGCTCAGGAAACCACAGAGCTTCTAATAGCAGTGGAAGATCACAAAGAAGCTGAGAGAACTATTTGAGCCACCAGGACTAGTCCCCCCCCCTCCCAGCACTGGCCTGAGACCTCCTGCTCACAGAGACCTCACTTTCTGAACTTCACCCCAGGAGCTGCCAGCCAACAGGATGCCTCTCCTGAAAGCTGTCATCTTCTCTTCCCTCTGGGCTTGTGAGTTCCCTCCCCCCTCAAACCCCACAATATCTAGCTCTACAGGAGACACTAAAAAGTTATTTATTGTTGCCTCTGTGTGTATTATTTCTTCATGAAGGTTTCCTTTCTTTATTTGCAGTTGGTGTTGGTCAGTTAAAGCTGGAACAACCTAGAATATCAGTGTCCAAGAGAATATATCAGAGTGTCTTTATATCTTGTAAGGTATTTTCTGCAAAGTTTGAGAATGCATACATACACTGGTACCGACAAAAACCTGCCAAGCATATAGAGCATCTAATATATGTTGTCTCGACAACAGCTCTTGCTCAGAAGCAAATAGGTGGGAAAACCAAACTTGAAGCAGGTAAAGACTCTCGTAGTTCCACTTCCACTTTGAAAATTAATTACTTAGAGGATGAAGATGAAGCCATGTACTACTGTGCCTGCTGGGACCACAGCATTCAACCACCAAGAAAACCTACACAAAAATCAACTCTTCGTCTGTGCCCACCCACATTCTCCCTAGTATGGGCACTATAGAGGCCCCACACTGGTTCCCAGCTTTAGCGCCTTTTCCTTCAGAAAGAGAATTGTGAACTATTCTGTTAGTATTGAGATAAAATCTATAAATTCATTATTAGACTCAAGTGGATGTCACTGAGTGCCAGGCAATATGCTGGTGATAGTGCATCTCATCATCACAGCACTTGTGCAATGTCATCTTCTTTTTCCCAATTAATATGCACTATAGAGGCGAAGAGAGGTAAAATAACTTTAAAAATGATAAAAGAATTGCTTCTTCAATTCTGATAGGTCATTCAGAAGAAATTTGGTATTCATTTCCATACATGTGGCTGTGAGAATGTGGGTTGGAGCTCATCCCCTCTCTCCCTGGTGCGGGGAGGACATGTGTTCATTCTACTTGCTGGGTTGTTACAACCCAGCCAGCCGTCTTGTTTTGCACAGTCCTCAAATGCTCTGTAGTTTGAGATGGAGAGTTATGTAATCTCACACCAGGTAGATTCCCTTTCAGCTTGCATTTGCCTGGGATTTTGTTGTGAAATGCTGCAGTGGGAACAGGTGTGTGGCAAGCAGAGGGGCCCCAGGGCTGGGGTGCTGGCAGCAACCAAGCCTCCCAGCCCCAGCAGATTGTCCTGGCTTCCTCTGGACCCTCTTCTGTAGTTGCATTGCTTGTGCTCCTCATAGCTGTCCTCTTGCAACCTAGTGATGTCACCTTATTGAAAGGTTGGCGCAGTTAAGAGATGGAGAGCCAGGCAAAGTTTCTGAGCAGCAGTAATATATTGTGCTCCAGGGCAAGGTTCACTGGTCCCCACGGGGGTCAGAGAAGTCACACCCATTGGGAAACACGGGAAAGCTTTTCTAGGACATGGAAGTTGGTTTTGTTTTTTTTTGTTTTTTCTGAAGAAACAGTTAATCAGGCCCTCCCTGGTGGCGCAGCTGGTTAAAGCACAGCACTAAGAAGCTAAAGCCACTTCAGCATGAGTTCTATCCCAGCCAGCCCCGGAGGTGATCCCACATGGCAGGGAAGACCTCTCCTGACCCGCTCACTGCTCCCCTCAGCAATGTACTTTGTCAGTCGGCCTGCTCTGCTCCCCAGTCTGTCTCTGGTGAAGCCTCTCACCGCTCCTGTACCTCTGGCCTGTGCCCCAGTTCTGTATGTATAAATAAATCTTAAAAAAAAAAAAAAAAAGGAACAGTTAATCAGCGATACTTATCAGTATGCCAGCCGGGCAGAGTGGACCTTACATTTATGTCCTTCGCCTCTAGGATTAGGTATGCATGTTTGCACAGTGGCACACCCATACTCCAGGTGTCAGCAATCAGGCCCCACACCCCTGAGCACTTTCTGCATCAACAGGATTAAGGGCGCAGGTGATAGTTGCAGAGGCTAGTGGTGTAAAAAGCCTGATTAGTTCTATTTACCCTATAGAGTCCTGTGATCAGAGTGGTCATTTCTTCAGATCTACTGCTCTTTATTAGAGTCTATTCTAATTCTCCTAGAATTAATTCATCTCAGCCCTCCAGGGTGGCTCAATGGGTTAGGGTGTGGCACTGCAAACTAGCTGAGGCCACTTCAGTGAGAGTTTGATCCTGGCCCCAGGGGTGACCCACATGGTGAGGAAGATCTCTGCTGTCTCACCCACTGCTCCCCTCAGCAGTGCATTTCATTGATCTGCCTGTTCTGCTCCTCATTCTGTCTCTGGTGAATCCTTTTACTACCCCTGCACCTCTGGCCTATACCCTAGTTCTGTATGCATAAATAAATAAATAAATAAAATGAAGTCATCTCATGCTTTGACAATGCTCAACACTGGTGCTGTTGTGATGCACATGTGTGTATGGGGAACAGGTATAGGGTGGTTACTGATCTTGTCTGTGTTCACTGAGCGAGGGAGTGGGGCATAGGGCTGGTTTCTCCTTTTGTTACAAGGTAGCCCAGAGTGGACTGGGCCCCCTGTCTGAACGGCCTCACCCACGCGCTCACAATTCGGTTCTACTGCAGGTACACACAAAAGGGTCAATAATGGGTTTATTTACAAAAGGGGAAAGGAATAGGAAGCAACCCAGGGAAAGAGAGCGGGATGCAAAGTAACTGGAATACCTTATGGCTGGGCTGACTGAACACACAGAACAGCACGGTCAGGAGAGCTTCTTCCTGAGCGAGAGAGTGAGGGAGGCAATAGTGCCCTATTTATCCCCCAAATGTCCCAGAATTCCTGCTAGCTCCGCCCTTGGATCCTCGCAGTACTTTCTCTGGTACTGCTGGGAGTTGTAGTTTCCAATCACTGGAGTAGGGGGTGGAGTTCATAAGACTCTGCAGAGTTCCTTTAGGACATCCTTCCCTTTAACATTTTTAGTGTCTGAACTTGTAGCCACCATGTAATTTTCCTCTTGAACCCAAGGAGAGAAAGTAACTAATCTGTGATTCCTACAACTGAAGAACAAGCAAAGTTTTGTCTGCAAATTAATTACTGAAACAGAGAACTATTCTATGGTGAATTTGAATTTAATGTTAGTCTTCCTACAATAAGCAATCATATTACTGCAGATTTGACTTTTTGAAAAAATATAAAATCTATCGAAATATAAAACAGAATTCTATCCCCTTTCCTGCCAAAACACCCCCCCCCAACTTGTTAACTTCTTTTAGAACATTTCAATAGTCTGCCCTGAATGTTCATGGAATACAGCTGTGCTTAGTCATTTAAATACTCTGGTTGTTTTTTAGTTCAATGGCAGAGGTGAGTGATCATATTAAAGAGATTATGACACACAGTATCCAAAATATTTGTTATCTGACCTCTCTACAGAGACCCTTTAATGTGCCTGTTCGACAACCATACCAGGCCAGGTAGGTTCATCATCAGTCTGGCAGCTTAAAAGAGAACCTTAGATTCCTCAAACTGCTAAACATGGAGCTTCCCTATGACCCAGCAATCCCACTCCTAGGTATCTACCCAAAAGACACAAAAACACTGATTGAAAAAGATACTTGTACCCCCATGTTTATTGCTGCTTTATTTACAATTGGAAAAACATGGAAGCAGCCCAAATGCCCAACAGTAGATGACTGGATTAGAAAGATGTGGTACATATATACAATGGAATATTACTCAGCAACCAAAAAAGAGAAACACATGTCTTTTGCAGCAACTTGGATGGAGCTGGAAAAGATCATGCTTAGTGAGATAAGCCAGAAAGAGAAAGAAAAATACCGGATGGTTTCACTCATAGCAGGAGTATAATGGACCAGGCGAGAAAATAACAAAAATAATGAACAACCATAGACCAGAGACATTCTGTGGGGGGGGAGTGGGGAATGGGATCAAAAACGGGGGGGGGGAAGGGAGGGAAATGCATGGGACTATGGTGGTGGCACAGGGGTGATTTGGTGATGGGAAACCCGTGGGGATTACAATTGAGATGAAAAAAAATGTGCAAAATGATGTAAAAATAAACTTTTTAATAAAAAAAGAGAACCTTAGAGATCTTCACATCACCCCCACAGGTTAGGGGGAAACAAGCCAGCAGGGAGGCAGCAACTTGGGCCCTGCTGTGAATCCCATTACACTCTTTCTTCTATTAGCCCTTTCTTGGATGCACCCCACTGCTCCCCACTGCAGTTTGCCATATGGCCTTTTGCTGCCTCCCTACTCCCCAGTCCTCTGCTGCCACCCTTATGTGCTCAGTTTCCTGTCTCAGGGGTGCCCACTTGCCCACACTCACACAATACCTAGGTGCCCACCATCAGGCATGCACATGAGATCACAGGTGCGGATCATAGATGCTAATGGTGGGAGGGTGGGGGAAAACCCCGAAAACTTCCATTTACCCTACAGTGCCCTGTTGTGCAACATGTGATAAAGGAGTTAGTTAATAACTATGGTTAAATTCAAGAGGGATAGGCCCTCCCTGGTGGCGCAGCGGGTTAAAGCACAGCACTAAGAAACTTAAGCCACTTCCGCATGAGTTCGATTCCCGTCTGCCCCGGAGATGACCCACAAGGCGCGGCAGACTCTCCTGACCCGCCCACTGCTCCCCTCAGCAGTGTACTTCCTCGATCTGCCTGTTCTGCTCCGGCTCTGTCTCTGGTGAATCCTCTCACCCTCCGCATCTTTGGCCTGTACCCCAGTTCTATATGAATAAATAAATAAATCTAAAAAAAAATTCAAGAGGGATAGGGGAAAATACTGATAAATTTCACTCCATGAAAATGAAGACAAAGCTTGCACTTTACAAGCAACATAAGGTGACTCAAAAGACAAATTATGGAAGTCAGGCAAGATGGCAGCAATCGAAGATACCAGGGTTACCTCCTCTGGACAAGCACAGCAAAACTGATGCCAAGGAAATCCAGAGAACATGAGAGTAAACCTGATTATCTGCACACATAGTAGACTTTTCAGTTGTCAGAAAGGGTAAGGAAAAATCTAACTTTTTTAGAGTTATAATAGGGCAGCACCGTACACAGGAAGGAGGAGAGGCTGGTGCAGAGTGCCACATAGCTAGGGACTCATTCCAGCATCAGGACAGCTATGACCTCGCACTGCTTGATAAGGAGGTACATGAGCACCTAAAATAGTCTGTGGAGAGCCACAGAAATGGCAGCACAGAGTGAGGCCTATGGGCTCAATCTGATGCTCACAATGCAAAGCAGGTCTATGCACCTGGAGTTTCCTATAAGAGAAGCTAATACTAAAGCCTCAGTGAGGTAGACAAACACCCCTACCAGTCACCACAGGCTGAGGTGGGTAAACACCTGCCATCTCCCACAAAGAAACACTTCCCAGCAGGGAGTTAAAATTCCTGGTAGACTTTCTATGCCTACTGCACAGTCCTCTTTTATGCTCCCTTCCCCTCACCAAAGTCCTACCCCCAACTAACCCAACAGGTGGAAGACAACAGTTGAAAATTTGTCTCTACTAAAGTCCATATAAAACTA